CCTGTTATCTGAGAAATTATTTCTGATTTCATTTTTTCCAGATCTCCTTTTGTTGCCAGTTCAGTGGGTCCAGGTGGTTGAGTATCAGAGTGCTCCATTTCATTTCCCTTTGCGGTTGCTGTAGGTGATCTGGAAGTCTGGTTTTGAGACTTATTTACGTGTTTTCTCATTTCCACTGGGGGGTGGGGGCATGGGGGATGCTGTTGGTACCCGTGCAGCTCACCTCCTCTGATCTGGGAGAGGTGGACCAGGGACCGGGAGTGGCGGTAGGGATGGTGGCCCAAAAGCCCCTTCCTCTGGAGCAGGAGCAGTGGGACAGCAGCTTAGAAGCCCCTACCTCTGGGCAGGAATTCTTTAAATGCTGAGAACTTGATTAGCTCCAGTAGAGTGGTCTGGTGGTCCGGTGTCCTCTGCGTCTTTGTAGTGAGGAACCAGGTGGCTGTACAAAGAGGCCAAAGGAGCGGGGCAGGGGGCAGTGGATTGCTGCTGGGGCGCGGCCTGATTTGGTGTTTTCAGTGGGACTGGGGACCTTGGGACCGTGTCCGCAGACCTGCCTGTCTGCAACGGGCTGATTCGGTTCTTTCCACGTGACTGGCGACCTCGGGACAGAATCCGCAGACCTGCCTCGTCATCCTTTATTATAGGATGAGTCTTTTTCATTATGATATCCTCAGAATAAGAGTACTGACTGGAGCTTTGCCACATTTCAGTCTCAGGTTTTTGTTGTTTGTAAATGATTTACTCCAATTCAACGAATATCTGTTGAACACCAATAAGTGAGAAATACTATGTGGAGCACCAAAGGGATGGGAAACAAAACAGCCATTTAAGCAAGAATTAGTCCTCACCCTGAGGTTTAAACATCTATGAAGAAATAAAAGCAGGGCTGAAACACAACCAGTCATAAAGATGACCATATTCATTTTTAATGCCTTATATCTGCTTTGATTGGATATAAGCCTAACTGGATCTATGAACCTGCAAAAGTTACTTATTATATGGGTTGAATTTTAATGTTCTCACTTTAATAATGGGAATCATACTATCTATATCTAAGAAATACAGTAAGAAATACATCAGAAAATGTAAGAAATTAATAATGTAATAAATAGAAAAACATCTCAGACTTAAAATGTATACACCAGATCATAAATGAGGCTTGAGTTTTATAATATTATTATAGATACCATATTCCCTGATGATAACAAATTAAATTTCTAACTTAGTCCTTAAATATAGCTTAAGAAAATCTCCTATGCTTGTGGAAATTTAAAATCATATTTAAATAACTCATTCATTAAAGAATAAATCAATCAAAATTAGAAAATACATAGAACTACACAATAATGAAAATATTAGGTGTAAATTCTTGCAGCAACATAGCTAAGGTAAATTTAAAGAGAATGTTAGGCCTAAATGCATATTATTAGAAGAGAAGGTGGAAAAGCAATGAAAACTGCATCGAAATTACAAGTTGAAAGAAGACCAGCAAAATAAACTCAAAGAAAATAAAGGAATGAAATAATAAAAGGCCAGAAATGAATGAAATAAAATTAATATTATGGTAAAGACTAATAAAATCGACCAATCTCTAGTAAGATTAACCAGGTGGAAAAAACTGATGGCATAAGTGAACAATATTCAAAACAAGGAAAAAAGATAATTATGGACATAGCAGAGTAAAAATAATGAAAATCCTTTCGATAAATCTATGATAATATTTAAAGCAACTTTTAAAAAGTGACTCAATAAGCAATAGATTGAGGCAGGTTCTTACCAACTTGCCCAGACTGGGTTAAAATACGTGATTCTCCTGCCTCAACTTCCCAGAGTGCTAGGATTACATATGTGTGTTGCCATGTACAGCTAAATAACTCATTTCTTTATAAAATTGGGATTTTAAAAAATTTTGCTGATTATAAAAGTAATTCATATTTACTGTAAAAACCAAAATGAGGCACTAAAGAATCTAAGTAAAAAATATTGTGTCCAAAATTGTTATGTCCTACAGAACATTATTTTATCTCTCTGTTTTCTAAAATTTTGTTTGTTTGTTTGTTTATTGGGTTTTGATTTTTTTTTTTGAGACAAGGTCTTGCTATATAATTCAGGCTCGGCTTGAACTCACGAAGTGTTGCAATTACAGGCATACACCACAACACCTGGTTTAAAGTAGTAAATGTAAAGAAGCATGCATATTCACTTAAGTGGAATCATACGATACTATGGCAGATTGAATTTTTCAAAGATGGTCACAACAACATGTCTAACTTCAATACCCCTCCCTGAGTGTCCTTGCCACTTTCCTACAGAGACATTATTTCTCCACCTGCCTTAAGCTAAGAAGGCTTTTGGACCACTTCAATCAGTAGAGTATGGCTTACATAATGTTGCACTAGTTCAGTGCGTAGCTCTTAACTGGCCTGGCAACTTAACCTTCCTCCTTCTTGGATGCCAGCCACTGTGTTAGAAGCAGGACTATCCTCAGGAATGCTGTGAGGAAGCCCAAGAAGGCCTGGAAAAGAATGTCCTTGTTGAGAGGAAAAGAAGTCAAGGTACACCAAATCACTAGACATCTTGGGAGTGGGTCTGTCTGTCAGCTGACTCTCTGTGGACCAAAAACAAACCATCCAGCAGAGCCCTTGGGAATCCTGATCTACTAAATCAGAAGCAGAAACAAAAAAAAGATCAGAAGAATAAATAAGTTTCTTTAACTCTCAAAAAAAAAAAGAAGTAATAAAAACCTAAGTGAACATGATGTATCTTTTGAACTGAATCAGCAGTTGCAAAATTTCCCTCAAAGAAAATAGCAAGCCCTGAAACTTTACAATTTCTATAATATATATACCCACGATTCGACTATTTCTTATCTTATATAATTTCTTCCGGAGAACAGGAGGAGATCACTGGCTGTTTGTTCAAATACATTTTCCATTTCTTCTCAGGCAAAAAGCTGGACTATGTGTCCCAGCTTCACGTACCATTAGGTGGAGCCATGTGACTGAGTTCGGACCAATGGAATCTGAGGGGCAGTGATGTCATAAAAACCTCCTGAGCACTCTGCTCTGCCCCTTCTCCCTGACTGGGACAGAGATGATTCTTAGGGAAACCATGGAAGCCACATATTGATATCACCCCATCAATCAACTGACTCTACTAGACATTATAGATAACTTAATTCAATAACAATAATGTGTGTTTTTTTCAATTGAACATGGTACATTGTTTAGTTGAAAACCACTAGAATTTCTAAATATTCTAACATTTCTAAGTAATCCATGTGCAAATGAAGTAAAAGAACAAATAAAATGAAAACACAATATATCAAAACTCATGGGGGCAGAGGATTTAGCTCAGTGGCCCTGTGCCAGCCTTGCAGGTGCAAAATCCTGAGTTCGATCCCCAGTACTGGGGGAAAAAACCAGAACAAAACAAAAAACACCTCATGGGATGCTACTAAAGTTGTACTTATAGGCTATAATCCACCACTTTTCATAAAAGGGCAATCCCCTAGCTTTCTAAAGTTATAGATCCATTATTATATATTTCATAAAAAGTTTATTACACTATTCTAAATGAACTACTGCCTTAGTCACTTTCCTTTTGTCTCTGCAACAAAACACCTGACACCCACAACCTAAACAGAGGTGAAGTTTATTCTGGCTCCTGGTTTTTAGAGGTTTCAGTCTATAGTTGGCTGGTTCTGAGGTAGGAAGGGCATGGCGGAAGGGTCTGGTAGAGGAAAGCTGCTCGAGTCATGGTGAGCAGGAAGCAGAGAGAGAAGGGAGGAAACAGGGAGGGAGAGATGCCCTTCAGGTTACTCTTGCAGTGAACTTCCTCAAATTAGGCCCCATCTCCTAACAGCACCAACTGTAGTGCCCACTGAGCCAGTCACCTAAAGCTCGGCCTCTGAGTGCAAGCTTTCGATTCTCCATCTAAACCACCACAACATAGATCTAGATTCTGTAATTTAATAGTTTATATGAACAGTCAAGGGGCTTTACAAACAATTTCTCTGGTGACTTCTTATTTCAAACAATGATGAACTATATAGATGTTTAGTCTGTTCTTTCTTCTGTTCTTCACTGCAGGTATTTTAAACTTTCTTCTTTTTGCTCAAGTTTTCAACTCCATCTACAAATATCTTTAATTTCAGATTAACCTCTGCTACTTTCAGGATAAGTACATCACTATGTGCCAGTACTGACCTAGAAGCTAGTCATACTGTGGTAAACAAGGCAAAGTTCCTGGATTCATATTTTAGAAGAAAGGGACAAATAATAAGCACATAGGCAAAAGTCTTACTTACTTTTCTTGTTGCTGATACAAAATACTTGACACCCTCCTCCGCCTCCTGCACACCCACTCCCCAACCCGCTCTCTGTCTTCACTGCAGCCAGGCAAACTGCCCCGAAGCTCTTGGGGGTCCTCTGTGTGGCCACGAGATAATGACGTTTGAACTGAATTATTAAGGGTTCTGAAGTCAAAGCTCATAAAATTAATAATGGCAGGAAAATCATCACTTTTAAAAGTAATTCTCCTTGGAGATGGAGTAGTTGGGAAGAGTTCTCTCATGAACAGATATGTAATGAATAAGTTTGATACCCAGCTCTTCCATGCAATAGGTGTGGAATTTTTAAATAAAGATCTGGAGGTGGATGGACATTTTGTCACCATGCAGATTTGGAACATGGCTGGTCAAGCACGATTCTGGTCTGAGGGCACCTTTTTACAGAGATTCTGACTGTTGCCTGTTTACTTTTAGTGTTGCTGATTCACAGAGTTTCCAGAACTTGAATAACTGGAAGAAAGAATTCATATATCGTGCAGATGTGAAAGAGCCTGAAAGCTTTCCTTTTGTGATTTTGGTCAACAAGGTCGACATAAGCTAACAGCAGGTGTCTACAGAAAAAGCCCAAGCTTGGTGCAGGGACAACGGCGACTATCTTTACTTTGAGACAAGTGCAAAAGATGCCACCAGTGTTGCAGCAGCCTTTGAGGAAGCAGCTCAAAGAGTGCTTGCTACCGAGGATAGGTCTGATCACTTGATTCAGACAGACACCATCAATCTTCACTGAAAGCCCAAGCCTAACTCATCCTGTTCTTGATCGTTAGATGGTCGGTGCATTCTAACCAACTCACGCATACACACATGGTAAACACGAGGGTGGAGAAGAGAATTAGGGTTTGCAGCAGTGTATCATATCTAATAAAATTGATGTATGTCACTGCTTCATTTGTTGGTGGGAGAAGGGACACATTGACTTACTTGGTAATGACACCTTGCCTTTCTAAATTGTAATGGTTGTCTAATATTTCTTTAAATATGTAAGTTAGAGCTAATAAATGACCAAAACTTTAATTATAATTAAAACAAAAACTTGACTATTCTAGAAGATATACTTAGATTGCTTTTTCTCCGGGGAAAAGGGAGAACTACTTTTATATGTGTATATTTTTATGTAGTTAGCATTCTATTCTTGGTTCAAGGGAAATATCTAAAGTAATAATGTTATAATATTAAAGATCAAAGTCTAATGCAAAAAAAAAAAGAGTACTTGACACCCAAAGTTAAAAGAGGAAACTTTTATTGTAGCTCACAGTTTGTAGAGGTTTCAGTTCACAATTGACTGGCTCCAAGGCAGGGTGGCATGGCAGAGGGGCACCTCAGAGAAGAAAACAGTGAAGTAGCAAAGTAGTGAAGCAGGAAGCAGCAAGCAGCATGCAGCAGCCCTCTTTCTGTGCTTTATATTCTACCCGGGCTACCTGCCCTTAGGGTGGGTAACACTTACATTCAAGATAGGGCACTTTTAATCCTAGCATCACACCATTAATCCTAGCATCATATTCTTAATCCTATCATTACACACCTTAGATCCAGCCACCTCCAAAAAGCCCACCTATAACCATGTGAGGCTTTGGGGGGACATCTAGATATAAGTCATAACAGCAAATAAGGTACTTTAAGAGACTGATAAAGGTCTCAAGGAAATCAGGCAATAGCCAGGTGGTAGTTGTAAAGAGTAGCTCAAGAAAATGTGTGTTCTCATACTATCATCCCTAGAAAGACCTGAATTGTCAGCTTGAATGGAACACATATTTGTCACTGAGTCAATCACTGGTAACATTTTTCAAATAGTGATAGAGAGCCTTGTTTAAAGCTATAAAATAAATGCTGAACAGTAAGACAGGACTGGCAAACACCAGAAGTCTGTTGACTTCATCAAAACGGTCTTCAGTTTTATCTCCCAATTATTCCCTGAATTTGCTTAGGTTCTCTTCACTGTAATCTCTCTTCCAAAAGGTTAGTGGGTCATAGATCAAAAGATAAACACACCCCACTGTCTAGTATAAGTACTGTGCTAGATATTAGTTTCTCTGACTTGAATCAAGATATGGTGTCACCAAGGCCATTGTTTATTATTCTTCATGCAGTTGTAGCATCCTCTGGTGGGCAGTAATTTTCTTTACGGCTTTCAAGAAACAGCTTTTATACCTTTTGGTACAGAAATAAAATATACAATACTTTATTATTTTCACAAAATTACCAACTTAATAAAGCATCATGTTAGTACTTATTGTCAGATATAAACAAATATCTGAGAAATGAAATTATGTAAGTATAAATAATATTGTTCCTACTAATAAATGGTAATAAGCTATTTTAAAAGCCTTCCATTCATAGTTTTAGAAAACAAAGTTTTCACACAATTTAAACTCTCTAATTGAGCATATCCTTTTGACTTGTTACATTTACATTTAAAATCTATTCAAAATTTTTTAAAGTACAGCTGGAAAATGTAAAATAAATTATTTAAGTATAATTTTATTCCAAGAGATAAATTACTTAAGTAATTTGTTTCTAGTGAGTAATACAAAGTTGATTAAATAAAATACTACAATTTATAAAACAAATAACAAAGATCATATAGAATGCTTTATGGCCCAATCACAAAAGGTATTGATAATATATAAGAGACCATGTAAGAAAAAGTTAAAGTGTTATTTTATTTCTGAAATGTATTTTCTTCTAGTTATATTGCTGTTGTCCAAGAACTGTAATAAGCAAAAGGGTCCCCAGAGCCCAGTAAAGACACAGCCATGACTATCAGATTAATGAGCAACCTCAAAGCCCTACAATATGATATCTGAGACAGGAGCTATTTGCCAGGAAAGTAAATTATATACTGCTCTCACATCACAAACATTTATTGTACCAAAGAACTGAAAAGGAAATGGAATTTAAGTGAGATCTTCACGAATGCATAGGAAAAGAATAAAAGAAAGAAGATCATCAGATGCTTCTGAACCAAGAAGAAAACACTGAAGTTACCAACTTCCTATCAAGAAATACACTTACAGCCGCTGTCTGGGTACAGAGAACAAAACTCCAAGCATAAAATGAATGCTTAGAAGAGTAGAAGAGAGGTATCAGAGCATTCTTATTCTGCTTTAAGATTTCCTGAATGGCTGCTACTTCTTAACAATTTCAAGTTTGTAAATCTCTTCTACCCAAAATTTATACTTCTCCTAACACTAGTACTTTGATTACCACTTAGGTTCAATGACTGACTGTCTAATAAGGGACAGTTTCCAGGGTGAATTGTCACTGAGTTAACTCAACTCCAACTTCCACAACATTGTGAAATATTATCTCACTAAGTACTACTATTTTTTTAAGTACTACTATTTTTCCTTCTATTCCTTGCTAATTCTGATAAAAGGCTTTGAAATAAAGTAAGCAATTAAGTTATTTAAACTTATTATCTATTCTGAAATGACCAAATCTATGATTACAAGTTACTTTGATCCCCTAAAAACTAGTGAAAGATCAAAAAGGACAGAATAGATTCATCTGTTCCACAACAAATTGAAACTTCCAAGCTTCAGAAAATCAGATAAAATACAACTAGTAAGGCTTAGTTAGTACAAGCAATTGAACAGAATATATATATTATATAATTCTATTCACTTGAAACTACATATGTGAAGGAAAAATATCTCTT